ATCAAAATTGACAACAATATTTTTGCATTGCTACTGCAAACATTATGAAAAGAAAACTGTGTTACTTATTTCTTTTTTAACTTACAAGTATGATTTTTGGGATTGGCATGCAGTTCAAATTAGAAAGCCAGGTGATCATTTATTATTGAATTTATGCAATTTTGTGTGAAATTTTCATTTTTCTCATTCTGGCACTTTCTAAGTATAAACTTGAACTCTGATGGTCCTGAAGCCTTATGCTTTTACTTTCGTCGTTGTTACCTGTTGTGCATAATTAAAATTTGATGTTGACTGTGCAGTAAAACATAATGTATCATTGCATCAGAATTGGTAGTCTCCTATTTTGTGCATTATTGTTTTGTGCTTTTCTTAAGATGTGACTTATGGGCCTGAAAGACCTTTGAGAGGGTCAGTCTGTTAATATCCCTTGGGTATCACTTAGCTAATTTCTAAGTTATAAAGTCATTTGCCTAATTGATAGGCCATTAAAGGAGATTACCTAAAGCACACTTGTTGATATTTCCTTGTAAACTCCCAAAAGTTAAGCTCTCTGCTAGATTAATAATAAGGAAGCAGTGATAATTATGCAGGTTATTATATATATATATATATATATATATATATATATAATCAAACATTAAAAGTTTGAATAGCAGTTTCATTGAAATTATATTTACCTCAGGCTCTGCCAAGGAGGTTATATTTTCACCCCTGTTTGTCTGTCATCAACATAACTCAAAAAGTAGTGGACCGATTTGGCTGAAATTTTCAGGAACTGTCAGAATTGGGCCAAAGAGGACAATGATTAGTGGTGGTCTGGCTCAATAATCAATCAATAATCAATAATAATCAACAATTGCTGCCTTGGCAGAGGTCTGCACTCTCAGTGGTTTTCTAGTTTTGTTATGTTTTCCTTTACAATTTTTTCTCAAACACTTACATTTGTGACTTTTAACTCTCATCCGCTCGAGGCTCTGCACATTTTCTGTATTTCCACATAAGCAATTGTATTTTTTTTTTTTTATGTCTTTAAACATTATATAATATTATTTTATGCACTGTCATCATTTTTCAAAAATTGAGACTTTCATCATGTGACTTTGGTCTCTCATGGTCCTGAAACTGTAATCTTATTGAAGGGGTGGATTGAGACCATCTTCTGGGTCTTCTGGAAGACAGGTTATTAAGTTTATATTGACTGGTATCTATTTTTTCTGTTGGAAGACCATCAAAATGGAGGATGGATCAACATAGATACTTTGGAATGCTGTCAGAAAATATCTCAGGGTCCGCTCCTGTTATTGACCATGTTACCTGCTGTGCATGATTAAAATTCAGTGTTGACTGACAGTGCTATTATAAGCATTATTTATTATTGCATCAAAATTGACAAAATGACCTTTTTTTATATCTTTATTTTCTGTTTTTTGTCTGTACATTTGACAGCTTTGCTGCCTTGTTTTAATTTACAGCCCTTTGATGATTGTCATTGTGACGTCACAGTGATCTCAGACGTTAAATGGTGTTATATTTGAAGCGTACATGAAAAAATAAAATTGGCATGCTAATTAAATAGTTAAAATTAAGAGTGAATTTTATGAAAGATAATTTTTTAATGTGAATTGAAAGAACCCACATTCTGGTCGTATTTTAGAATCTGTCACAATCGCACGGGGCTACAAAGGCGCAATTGGTAGAATACAAGCGACTGCTGAATGACAGTTTTAATGATCTAAAGGCAAGAGAAAAACACATTTTGTAGTTTTGCGTATTAGCAATCTGATTCATTTGCATTGATCGGATCACTGTCATGTGTGAATGGGCAACGGTATTTATGTCATTTTCTGTTTTAAATAAACGCGATTTTTTGTTGAATATTTTCCTGCCTGTGGTATTAAACACCACGTCACCTAATCCTCACGTTTGGCATGTGTAATATCATGGTTTCCGGGAAACGCGTAAGACGGGTACAGAATATATTAAATAAAATGATGTCTCCAAAGGAACTTTTTCTCTAAACTTTAAGTAATATTTGGTAATTGCATTACATAAACTGGTAACAAATTATTTTTTCTTTTCATTTCAGAGTCTAATGCAAGATCACGAGGTGAGTGTTGCAACCTCTCGTGTTCATTGAATCGATGCCATCTTGAATTGTCGCGCTTTGTTTATAATTGCTACAAGCTTAAGAAGTCAGCAGCTGTTTTTTTAAAGATCTCTTTCAATATTTTACGCATTAATACATATCATTTGATAACTGCAAAAAGATATTGCTGATGTTGAATTAATGCAAAAATTCGAATGAGTATTGCAATAATTTTTGTCCCTCATATACATATACATGTATGTTAAAGAAATAATCGTCGTAGCATTTTGCAAGGCTTCGATTTATAAAAGATGTGACATTTCGTATTATAGTTACTGGTGGCAGAAGTGGAAAGATTGGGTGGGAAGGTAAATAACAACGACAACCGCACAGCTGAGGCTTTTAGGAAGATGGCTAGGCTGGAGCTGTTAATGCAGCAAGTAAGTTAAGCAAATGAGAATAATAATACTTTATTTTTTTTTCTAGGCAGAGGCTTTAAAATAAGCAAATGTCAAGTATGTATAGGTACTACTAACAGTGAGAGTGTTTTCAAAGATAAATCAAGAATATAAAAAAATAATTAACTTATTTGTCCTGTTGTTGGACGTAAGCGACAGTGTACAGAGCATGTTTAATCCTAAGCTCCGGCATTTAATTTTTGTTCTATTTTAACAGAATTTTTCCAGTATCAGACACAGTTTAAATGACGCGATTGAACGCAGTAGGCATCGACTGGATCTTCTTGAAGCAAAGCTGGACCAGAGTAAAACGGTAAACCTTTCTGGGGCACTTATTTATGCAAATATTGTCATTATTAAGCTGTATACGTTGTCAACCAGTACTTCAGTAGATGACGTCAACGTTTTATCTGCAACAACTGCATCTGATACTCTAATTATTTACAAAGAATATCCAAAAAGGTTATTTCAAAAGGCCCCCTTTAAATTACTTGTATGGCCTTAGCTTCATTCGTTGTAACGTGCAATCTGCATATACAGAAAATCAATTTCCTGACGATTATATTAATGCAGCTGCTATATTAATGTCATGTATTAATTGATATTAATACAGAAATCTACCAATTTAATCTATACGGAATGAAATATGATAAAATGATAATATTACAGGACTTGCAGCAGGACATGTCCAGCAAGATAAGTGCTCTGCAGGGAGATTTAAGCCAAAGTAAAGCTGATGTTGCGTCCATTAAAAGTGGCATCAGAGTAAGTCACATCTGTTGATTTCTAATCGACAAATGGATTTCATCGTGATTAACGGAAATGAAAATGCGTGGTTAACATTGTTTTTGTATAGATATTTTTGGGGCAATTATGGCAAAAATTAGTGTGTGTGTGTGTGTGTGTGTGTGTGTGTGTGAGAGAGAGAGAGAGA